TAGGAGTGCGTTGATGCGTACTATAATACCACTGGCATTATAACTGAATATAGGCTAAAATGTTATCAAGTGTTTCCTTCTTTTATCATTATAGTAGAAGATAACTTCTGGCCTATATGTCTTAGGTTGTCAGAATACGAGTGGCGGTCGTCCGCAGCTCCCTCCGTGATATGGATGAGAAAAATATATACAGCTGATTTGACATTTGATGATATATTGCTGACTTCAATTTGTCAGAGTGGAATTTTATCGACTCGTGACAACCCCACTCTCTCGAATGCCAAATGGTCGACCACACCAAAATCAGTTCAGAGAATTGTAAAAAAAAAAAAAAAAACAAAAAAAAAAACAACTCAAGCTTTTCTTTATAATTGGCCTCCATTTCAGAACACTTTTCGCGGGCATATAAAGCGTCGGAGATGTTTGGACCATGGAAAGGTTTTTTATGCTTGATTTGTCTGTCAGAAGAATTAGAAAATTAAATACCATACCTTATCTCAAGGCTGAGAATTCAATTAAAAAATTCCTCTGGTTCCATCTTGCATGTATCCAGGAATTCGAAATAGAGGGGGGCCCAAAGAAGGACTTTCACAGTTTGAGGATCTACCTCAGGCCCAGCTGGTTCGGGTTGAGGTAGAACAATTTATGATTAGGCCTATGGCACGTCTAGATGTTCGGAAATTGAAATTTTAGACTGAAAATTTGAGTAGAAGGTCCTGGTTTTTCTCAATTTCTTGTTAATTCTGAAAAATGTAGGGGCGAGGGGGGGGGGGACCCGGGCGCATGGTTTTTCCCATACAGTTAAGGCAGAAATTTTAGAGGGCGCTATTTTGAGTCAGTTAGGTGAAATGATATGCATGATTATTCATACATGACCTCCTCCTCACAAAACGAGTTCAGTGGTGGTGTATTGAGTAAGGTGCAATGCTTATGTGTGGATGAACGCTGGTGTATATATATATATATAATCAAAGACACTAGGTTACTAATTCAATATTTTATTTTGCACTACAGACTGTTTCATGAGGGCACAGCCTCAATCATCAGGGGCTCGGCTCTGAATTTCAGATTCTGACAACAATGATCAGAGAAGGGTGCCACCAAATGATTCAGCTCATCTACGATAACTTCTGCTATGGTATTTATCTGGTTAATAAAATAAAAGACATTTTGTTGGGTTATTTGTTTGAATTAGTATGCTTAAAATAAATATGGTAAAAACAGTTTGTGTTGTCCAAAAAAAATTAGGGAAGGTTTTTTAGATGTGTATAAGAGACAGTATATATATCAGGGCTTGTTATCTGAAAATGGTTGGTGAGCTAAAAAAAACCCACACCTATTTTTTTTTTTTGGCGAGTGATTATGTTGGGGGAAGTTTAAGTTTCTTTTGAATAGTTAGTATACACATAAATACTACTGCAGTCATCAAAGTGGTATTAGAGTTCAAAACAACACATTCAAGCAGAAATCTTGTCACAGTATTTGGGGTTTTTACAAGATTTAAAGTGAATAATTTTCAAACCTCTAATCCTCAAATCAGAAGCCCATATGTGTGCTTCAAGTGACATAAAATGTAAAAACAATGAAAAGACGATGTCATTGAAGGTTGACTTGCGGAACACAAATATATGTCTATATTCAAACCTGAGACCTTCTGCTGTCTAGCATCATTAACCCACGTTTATCAATACAAAGAAAGAAATATAAAATTACGATTGTCATTACTACAATAGATACCTTAATTTATAATTGACCTACAAAATATTGAGTGCCCAACACACTTCATCAAGAAATGTTACTTACAATAATTATCTCATAATAAAATATATAATTATATTACATCATTTGTTTGTTTATTTACAAAATTAATTTAATTAATAAATAACAATAATCTTTTTAAAATTTGTTACATATCAAGGAGGTTTAACAATAGGGGGATGGGGCTGATGGGGGGCACAAAGGCTTAGTGGAAGAGGATTTGATGATTAAGCGTGAGGGTACTGTCAAAATAAGGTGATAAGAAGCGATTTCTAAGTACTGTACCTGAGCGTCTTTTGATAGGTACCACTGATGTCTCTAGATATCTCGCCCTATGTTAAGTTGATTTTTACAGAAACAGAATTTAGCAACCTTTGGATATTTATCAACTATACATTTAGGTTGATCTCCATAAAGATTAATTCGGCTTATCTCTTCTGTTACTCTGTATCTTGTGATATTCATTTTATCGTGGGACATCTCTAGAGTTGCTTCGAATAAACCGGGTCCAGGAGCTGTTTCCACGGTAACCTGGTAGAGTAGTGCCATTTCGTGCACATCAACATTAGCTTCCTTGAGAAAGCCTGGTTCTCTTTGGTCAGCATCTACAGTTTTATCAAACGTCAAAATCTGTAGGAAAGAACGCAAGAAAAAAGATTTAACAAACAACAGTCAACAAGCGACAATCAAGAACAAACAAAAAACTAATAAACTACAAAATGATAGATACAGTGTACCCTCAAAATCGAGACCCTTCTAATTTCGAGACCACTTTTTAAAGAACTAAATAACAATCTTATCTTTTAACATAAAGTTTAACCCTCTATTTGGAAACCAAGACCGCCCAAAATTTTAGGTCTCTAAGGTGGTCTCGAATTGGAGGGCAACTGTACGGTCCGAGTTAAAAAGATACACTGAAATGTAATTACATATTTGAAATGCTTACTTTGTATTTTTAAGTAATAACTCACAAAATTTAAATAAAAAAAATGTTCACCATCAATTATTGATATACAGTTATTAAGTACAGTAATAAATTTCCTCCTGTATCCTTGGCTGGTAATCAATTTTTAGTTGTTTAACTTTTTTTACCTTTTCATTTGAATAATTGAAAACAATTTCATTTCATTTTTTAGGTTTTCCTAATTTGTTTTGTCAAACACTATATCTTTAAGCTAATAAAAATTAAACAATGAAATTTAATATTTGAATTGCTTAAATGTAAGCCTATTATTGCACCATTTCATGCTACAATACTATGTTTTCATAGGAAAGTTACAATTATGATAGAAAATAGTTATACAAACATATAAAATAGAAAAGACATTTTCTTTACTTCCGAATTTGGAATCATTCTTTGAGCAAATTTCACTTTCTTCAGCACAATATGAGCACAATGATCAGAGAAGGGTGCCACCAAATGATTCAGCTCATCTACGATAACTTCTGCTATGGTATTTATCTGGTTAATAAAATAAAAGACATTTTGTTGGGTTATTTGTTTGAATTAGTATGCTTAAAATAAATATGGTAAAAACAGTTTGTGTTGTCCAAAAAAAATTAGAGAAGGTTTTTTTTTTTGTTTTTTTTTGTACAGTATAAACATTTTTTCATAAATATTCTCAAAGCAGTATCACAAAATACTTATATGATGCTAAGGGCACTTATCAAACTGTACTGTTTATTCAATAGCAGCAAAAGTGCATGGAAGGAGGAATAGCCCAAGTATATGCTTAGCTCTATGCTCTATGGGATTCAACATAGTGGCAGTGAGGGAAAGAGCAAAATCAAGGGAAGGCCCCTCCCCCACTCATCTTTGTCAAGGTTCATTGAACCAACTTTCTTTCCCCCTTTTTTTACAAGAAATATTTTTGGGCATAACACAGTAATACCAAAACACTTCAGATAACTTCAGTATGGCCCAGTTTTCTAGGTACAAGAGGAATTAGTCCCTAGGACACTGGATTCCAACAGAAATTTTCTGTGACCCCATGCTCAAAATCCCACACCCATCAGGTAAGTCATGCATGGTGCCACTGCTTATTTATACAAGTGGCCATCAGACATGAGTTCCTACAGGAGACACCATCACTCACTTTCTGGAGAACAAACCCTTGTAATCTCGAAAGCTTGGATGAAGGCAGTATGATAGAGGGAGTATAGCTAAAAAAGATCTATTAATCAATCAACTATTCATCATTCAAGTGTTTCTAGAGCTTCTCATGAGGGCAGTAAAATAGAGGCAGTAGACCTAAAAAGATCTATTAATCAATCCACTATTAATCAATCAGCCTCATGAGGGCAGTATAACAGAGGCAGTAGAGCTAAAAAAGATCTCTTAATCAAATACAAAGCTCTGAACCAGATACTAAGAGAGAAAAGCTCAATTTACCTCTAAATCATTTCCAGGCGGAACCATCTCCCACTTTAAGCATGCGCACCAGTGAGGAGCTACTCCAGCCATACTGCAACTTCTCTTCAACGGTACTTCATGAAACAAGCTCATCCCTCGTCGCACTTCATCTCTCACATCACTACTGTAGTCTAAAATACTGCGTAATGTTGCGTGTATATCGAAAGGCGTGGTGAGCCTATTCGAATTCAATTCAAGATTCTTATAAATAGTTGGATGCATTTTTCGAATCCAATCTGGCAAAAAGATGGACATAAATGGGAGCCTCTCTTCCAACTTTCCTTGAAGAGTGGCTCGAATTTTTGTATAGCGTGCACCATGATCACTGTAAACGAATAGGACTGTATTGTTCAGGAGACCATCCTTGTTAGTTTTTTTCAGAAATGAGTACAAGTGCTCGTCCAGCAGTGACAACTGGTTAATATCGGCATGTGTAAGTCCAGTGTAGAGCATAAACCCAAAGTGGTGAATGCTTTTATAATCAAACATAAAGTCCTGCATATAATCAAGCATTACTTCGTGGACAGATTTAGGGCCGAGGCACAGACCTTCTACTCGGACTTCCTGCCAGAAAGTTCTCATGTAGTGGTCTGTAGGCTGGGCATCAAAACCATTGAGCCTCCAGTTGTAGGCAGATATGGCGGGAGAATCTTCTGCAAACAGTGTCGCATAACCTGCCTTTTTAAAGTCCTTCCATACAAAAGGATAAACATCAACCTTTGTTGAATTACTGAAGCTCTTACGAACTTCCGGTAGTTCTTTCTCGTGTTTGCCTGTAAGCATGGGAGTGAGGGCACCATTTGTAGCATCACCAACGATATTATACCCTTTTAAAACCACAGACCCAAGAATTTCTGTTAAGTAACGATACGATTTCGGCATTTTGCGTATAAAATTCAATCGAGATGTTGAATCAACTCCGAGCATAATGACATTTAATCCAAGAGCTTTTTTTGGTAGCGGTGTGTTGCGAGCATGTGCCATTACCTTTTTGTTAGGATTAATATGGGAATGGATGTCAACATGAGTGCTGTGGAAGTCGGTTTCATACTCCAGTGAGGAAGGATTTTGATCATCAGGATTAACTTCAGGGTTCTCGCAGCCAACAATCACAAAGTCTGAATCAATTTTATATCTAAGTTCTATGTCATTTCTTGTATGTGTGGGCCCAACAGGCACATCAATAGGATCGGTTATAAAAGATAGAAGATCAGAATCTCTCTCAATGGTTGATACTTGACACGACTCATACTTCCCTTTCTCTACAGCTTCATATCGTATAAAAATGTGATTATTTTTCACATAACTAATTGTCTGACCTTTGCACTCAAGAGGTGAAGGGTCATGAAATAGGTGTGCGATTTCTGGGTCGAAAGGTTTTAATTCTGGCATTCTGCAAACTTGTTCAACAGAAGTATTAACTTGTATAATCATATGATCAATATCTGGCCCAGAATGCAATTCTTTTTTTACAATGGACAGATTAACTGGTTCTTTTTCTGCCTGTCGTCTTACGTTTGTAAAGTATGTGCTTACTTTTGTTGAACTGTTACTGAAAGAAGTGTTTTTTACCAGTTGATTCTTCAATTCATGTCTTAACATTTTATTTTGTGCTGCATTATCTACTGTGATATTTTTTTGCTTGCCTAACCTTCTCTGCAATTTTTTTTGCTTCATGATATTTAGGAAACCTACAGACCTGGAATAATTTGCTTTGCGCAAGTGTCCCATTCGTACGTGTTGATGCTGAATAACAGTTGACAAGTTGACAGTCTTTGTGGACTGAAGACTATGAAATGACACCAAAAGGAGAATTAGGCTGAAGATGATGATCACAGAAAATAAGAAACGCACTCTGTCATTAGTGATACTTAGATTTCCATTCCGCCCCATTGTCCAGACTTCGCAACTTTATTTTCATTACTGCTGAAGTTAACCCTTAAAAAAAGAAAATACATTCATTAACATATTTGAAATTAAACTAATTTATCATTCAATATTATTTGTACATTAAAAGTAAGCAAGCAAATAATAAGCCCTGGCTGATAATATGGGGAGTGAGGCAAAGCTTATTTTTCATAAGAAGCATTTTTTTGTTCATTAAATCATGAAGACGTTTTACAAGGCAAGGCTACCTACTACTACAGACAGGTCCTAGGCTAGGCCTACTGGCTAGCTTAACATATGCCTAGCTTCTTAGCCCTAGACGTAGCCAATATTACAGGTGAAGTGGGCTAGCCTAGGCCTAGCTATGCTTGCCTTGGGCCACACCCTGTCCCCTTCCCTGGCCTATTCC